GCTGGGTGGTCCGGGATAGATGAAGGAAGGTGGTGTCTCTTTGGATATGGGGTCTTGTCTTCCCAGCATGGGACATTGTAACATGAGGGGGCCCAGCCTGCTTGTTTGGTTTTTCTGTCCTGTCCAGTTCCCACAACTGTTTGGCCACAAAGAAAATCACACTCCATAAATTATAAGCTGATTGGCCCATTAGCTGTCCAGCCTCTCACTGGCCAACTCTCACATCTTGATTAACCCATTTTTCTGATCTATGTTAGCCATGTGGCTCAGTACCCTTTTTCAGTGGGGCAGATCACATCCTGCTGCTTTGGTGATCTGGGCAGGAGAGGGGGGAATCAACTTCCTCCTTCCCAGAATTCTTCTGTTCTCATTACTACATCATTTCTACTTCCTGTCTGGTTTTCCCGCCTATATTTCCTACCTGGCCAATCAGCGTTTATTTATAACGTGATTGACAGAATACAGTCAATTCTCCCGCACTACTTCCCCCCTTTAAAAAAAAAAAAATATCCATAGTCCATTTTTTGAGAATGTGGGCGTAGTATTCCAGGCTACTTCCAGCTGGTTGGGGGCACTGATAATCTTATGGGGACCTAAAAAAAATTTAGAGTTATGATCAAGGCCTGACTGAAGTATCCTGTGAGTCTTGATCACCTCAGGCAGCAGTTTTGAACAGGTTCTGGATGAAGAACTCAGACATCTGGGCCATCTATTCCTGCTGGAGATTTCTCAGGTGGCCTTCCTTGATCAAAGTTGATTTTTCTTAACTCTGAATAAATCCACAGCCTCTCATTTTCTGTGGAAACAAAAGCAAAATCTCTTCTCCAAAGTAACATACCTTTTGATTTCAACTGTGAAGTTAAGGTATTTTCAAAATACCTATCTTGGATGAGACAGAAAGAAATATGAATTTAGAAAACATCTTTGTGGGGCTGGAGAAATGGCTCAGTGGTTAAGAGCATTGCCTGCTCTACCAAAGGTCCTGAGTTCAATTCCCAGAAACCACATGGTGGCTCACAACCATCTGTAATGGGGTCTGGTACCCTCTTCTGGTCTGCAGGCATACACACAGACAGAACATTGTATACATAATAAATATAAAAAAAATCTTTGCTTTCTTCATATCTATCATACTTTTCATTGAATATATCTATCATACCTTTCATTGAATATATGTATGTCTGTATATGTCTGTATAATTAATGTTTAAGTTTTCCACAATGAACAATGAGTTTTTTTCTACCCTGATTTTGAAGTTTCCAGAAAGAAGATGGGTCCCCCATAACAAGAACTCCACTCGGTTGATATGACATCGTGATGCTGATAGCGCTACTACAAGTTCTGGTTCGGGTATCAGCTGAACATATGATTCCAACTTGGTTAGCTGAAATGGTGCACATCTTGTACAACATTCTGGCCAGACCTCCACAAAATACTCAGAGACTGTTTGCAATTTTAAAAGACATTGATCTTGAAATTTAACCATCATTTTACTTTCACAGGATCCTTCAGAAAGAACATTGCCCCCATGACAGCCAGAAGTAATTCTAGAGGACGATGTCCCCTCTCCCAACAAAGTTTGTCCTCAGATTTAGGGACAGTATTTAGGGGTTGCTTATAAGTAGTATACAGTTGAGGGTTGGGAGAGGAATTTTTTAAGCTCAGGGATCTTTTTGAAAAAAAAAAAAAGAGGGAAAATTGGATAGATAATAATGGTATTTGTGAGCTATTATTTATAGATAATTACATTGGTATAAATTTTTTGTCTATGGATACAAAGTTAAATTATATTGAATATTGTATGCATGCATGCTTCCACCTCTGTTTAAAACATTTTTTATGTATTGATATATATATATATAGTATTGATATATGTATACCATATTGCAGTGTACATTTCTACCTCTGATTAAGATACTTTTGTATAAATAGTCTTCAACCTCTTCGAAGAGCTGTAGAAAATGGCATTTAATTTAATCTTAGAGTTCTGTAGTAGTGAGACACAATCACTCCTGGAAACACCGACCTATTCCCAAGAGATTGTTGAGCACCAAAGACACTCCACTTGGAGCTTGTCTTCTTGACAAAACCGGCCTCTGGGCAAGGAACTGCCCATACCTCAACTACTGACAAAATACACAGTATCCGGAAATGGATAAGCAGAACTGTCCAATCTTGCCAAGACAGGGTAAGACGGTTTTGAAAAATCTCTTCCCTGTTAAAAATAATCTGTCAGTTATTCTAGGCCTTAGTTAAAGTTGGTTGCTTCAAGGCTGAAAACGTGAGTTTGGGTGATTGCCCAGGTGGCCAGTTGTCTCTGTGATTTGCTGCATGTTTGATTGCACTTCCTAATTACACAGGTAACATTATTTCCCTTCTCGGATCTTCTATGGGGTTGAAGACTAGATAAATGTAACAACTTTCCTCTCATGACTTGCCCAAGTTATTTATTATGCAAGACTTGGGCTAGTTAGGATAGGATATTTGTTCTTATTGTATATAATTTTGTAGTAGGTTTAGAATGCTCTTACTTAAACAAAAGGGGGAGGTGCTGCGGGAGGACCTTCCCCACCTTCAGCCAATAGCTGCTGAAATATCAGCCCACTGGGGCATGGTCTATTTATCTCTAAAAAAGAGCAGCAAGCCTCGGGCCTGCTCTCTTGGGCCCAAGTTCCTGCTCTTGGTTCCTGCTCCTGCTCTGGCGACTAGGCTCCTTTCCTGACTGTTCATGCTTTGTGAGTTTTACCCCCAAAACAAATACCCCTTTAAATCCTAACTGGTGTGGGATTGTTTCGCGCATTAGGACATTCCCTGAAGTTGTGTCCTACAGTCAAAGAAAGCCTTTTCCAAAGCCTTGTCTGCCGGTTCAGCTGCTGAGCCTCTAAGCAGGAGCTCAACCTGAGGTAGCTCTGCAGCCATTTCACAGGAAGGAGTGCACTCTGCACACCCATTAGAGAGTAAAACTTGCTGCGTCAATAGGGACAAAGAATGGGACGCTGAGTGTGGTTCCGGACCACTGTGGACCCCCTGAAAACAGTATTATTCTTAAAGATTGACTCAGCAATCAGAAAATGCATGTGCTGGCTAGTTTTATGTCAATTTGACACAAGCTAGAGATACGGGAAAGGAGGGAGTCTCACTTGAGAACTTACCTCCATAAGATCTCACTGTAGACAATCCTGTAGGGTATTTTCTTAATTAATGATTGACGGGGAAGGGCCCAGCCCAATGTGGGTGGGGCTGGTGGTCCTAGGTTCTTTTAGAAGGCAGGTTGAGCAAGCCATAGGGAGCAAGGCAGTAAGCAGCACTCCTCCATAGCCTTGCTTCAGTAGTTAAAGGCTACAGATGCATGCTAATTAAACAGTGCTGGGGATTGAGCCCAGATCCATTACAACAACCAGCGCACCTAAGGGCTGGACCATCTCTCCAGCCCCAATCTGCAGAATATTTGAAGACAGGATGTTAAAAAGGAGGCAAAACAGGACATTTTAAGGGAAAAAAATCATTAAGACAGGATGTTTAGGGAGCTGGAGAGATGGCTCAGTGGTTAAGAGCACTGACTGCTCTTCCAGAGGACCCAGGTTCAATTCCCAGCACCCACATGGCAGCTCAAAACTGTCTGAAGATCCAGTTGCAGGGGATCTGACACCTTCACACCAATGCACGTAATATAAAGTTAAATAGAGCATAAAAAATATATTAAAAAAAGACATGATGTTTACAGGGGAAGTGAAATAATCAGTGTTGTAAACATCCCGTCCAGCAGGAAGGCTTTTTAAGCAAAAATGCCTCCCCAAACATATACAAGCAGTAAGGGCTGCTCAGACACTCTAGACATGCTTGCCTGCCTAGAGCAGCTGCGTGGGAAGGATGTTTTTCTGACATGCTGAGCTTCCCCAGCCTGTGCAGTGTGCTCCAGGTTCTAGCTTTTGCGAGCTGTCACCTTTGCTGGGTGAGGGATGCAGCTGTCTTTGACCCCAGTAAAACTCATTGGTTCACCAGGTTGACCTTGATGGTATCTGTACTTTCTTCTGTTGTCAGTTCCCTATTTGGGGTGAGCAAATGTTTGTTTATATCTCCCCAAGAACAGTGTCACACAGCAAGTATCCCCCCAAAGCCCTGTTGCAGCATAGCACTGTTCAGGAGGACCCGAAACCTTAGGAGCTCAGAGAGGGAGGCTGTTAGGTGACGATGTCGTGGCCACGAGATGTGTATTTTGCTGAGTTACCTGCTGCCACCATTATGTACTCCCTTGGCACAGGCCCAGTTAATTGGCTGATGGACTGGAACCTCCAAAACTATGGGGGACAAGGTAAGGCTGTAAGCCGGTCATCTCAGATGTGAAGGGACTCTGGCCACCAGGAGCCTGGCAAACATGGCTCCGGCAGGCCTTGCCCTTCTCCCCAATCCCTCTGCCTAGCTAAAACCCATTAGGCCACATTCCTAAAGATAGCCACCAAGGCCACTTCCTCCTCCTGAGGCTGACTAACAAGGTCCACCAATTGAAGTACTGATGTCCAGCAATCAAAAGCCCCCTTCGACTCACGTAATTAAGATGTCCAATTAAAATTAGACCCCTCATTCTAGCACAGGGTTTCCCCCTTTACCTTTATAAACGGCCATTTAAATGCCCACCTGAGTATTTCAGTAGAACGGCAGGAAACAAACTGGTCCACTGGCTGTAGTCATGGAGAGCTTGTGCCCTCTGCACACTGTCGTCTTCTCAAACATTACAGCAAGTTAATCCAACTGTGTGCACTACGTCAACTATTTTATGTATTCTAAAGGAATTGAGAGAATGCACATACATGCTTTTATGAAATCTTTGAATGATTTTATTTTACATATTGTGTCTGTGTGTGTACATGCCAGACTACTTATAAGAACGAGTTGTGGATCTTGTGTCCCCGCGTGTGTGCGCCTTATCTCAGCTGGTCCGCCCGAGACCCCCTGAGCGCGAACCCTAGTCCCCCGTGCAGCCCCATTTCCACTCCGACAAGATGAAAGAAACGATCATGAACCAGGAAAAACTGGCCAAGCTGCAGGCACAAGTGCACATTGGTGGGAAAGGAACTGCTCGCAGAAAGAAGAAGGTGGTTCACAGAACAGCCACAGCAGATGATAAAAAACTGAAGTTCTCCTTAAAGAAGTTAGGGGTGAACAATATCTCTGGTATTGAAGAGGTGAACATGTTTACAAACCAAGGAACAGTGATCCATTTTAACAACCCTAAAGTTCAGGCGTCTCTGGCAGCAAACACCTTCACCATTACAGGCCACGCCGAGACAAAGCAACGGACAGAAATGCTTCCCAGCATTCTAAACCAGCTTGGGGCAGACAGTCTGACTAGTTTAAGGAGACTGGCTGAAGCTCTGCCCAAACAATCTGTGGATGGAAAAGCACCCCTTGCTACTGGAGAGGATGATGATGATGAAGTCCCAGACCTGGTGGAGAATTTTGATGAGGCTTCTAAGAACGAGGCAAACTGAATGGAGGGGACTTCTGAAGAAGTGACTCTTGCAGAAGTTACAGGAGCTGCTATTTTATATCATGGCTGCTTTTTAAAGGTCTTTTGTTTATGGATCTGATCAAATCTGGATCGCTAATATTTTTAAGCCCAAGCCCCTTGGACACTGCAGCTCTTCTCAGTTTTTGCTTAAACACAATTCATTCTTTGTAGCAAATTAAGCTGAAGAAGCCTGGGAATAAAGTTTGGAAAAGGGTTAATAAAAAAAAAAAAAGAACGAGTTGTGTGTGTGTATACATGTCAGACTACCTATAGGAACGAGGTGTGTGTGTGTATACATGTCAGACTACCTATAGGAACAAGGTGTGTGTACATGTCAGACTACCTATAGGAACGAGTTGTGTATACATGTCAGACTACCTATAGGAACGAGGTGTGTGTACATGTCAGACTACCTATAGGAACGAGTTCTCTTCCATCTTCTATGTTTTGAGGATTGAACTCAGGTTGGCAAGCTTCATGGCAGGTACCTTCACTTTCTGAGCCCTTCTGACAGGTCATATACAGTTTCAACTGTCTGAATAGTTTGTCGTTTATAGCTCCCATGTCTTCCATAGGCTGTCACCGTCTTCCCTTTGGCACATCTTGTATAGCAATATATCATTTGGACTTTTATGTAGCTTTTTCAATTTTACTTTTTTTAAGTTGTTGGATATTTAAATTAAAAAAATTGCATATGAATATTTTGCCTGCATGTGTCCTCTCTATGCAGCCATTGACTGGCCTGGTACTCACCCTGTAGACCAGGCTGGCCTTGAGCTCAGAGTGATCCACCTGCTTTTTCTTTGGGTCACCAGCTCCCAAATAAAAACAACATGGAGGCTTATTAATTATGAAAGCTCGGCCTTAGCTTAGGCTTGTTTTTAACTACGTCTTTTTTTTTAAGGTTTATTTATTAATTATGTATAGTGTTCTGTCTGCATGTATGCTGCAGGCCAGAAGAGGGCACCAGATCTCATTACAGATGGTTGTGAGCCACCATGTGATTGCTGGGAATTGAACTCAGGACCTCTGGAAAGAGCAGTCAGTGCTCTTAACCTCTGAGCCATTTCTGGAGTCCCTAACTAGCTATTTTTTTTTTTTTTTTTTTTTTTTTAGTTTTTCAAGATAGGGTTTCTCTGTGTAACAGCCCTAGTTTTCCTGGAACTAGCTCTTGTAGCCCAGGTTGGCCTCAAATTCACAGAAATCTGTTTTGAAGTGATGTCTTCAGCAATAGAGCCTTACCGTTTAGTTGGGCAATCAAGATTAACAGGGCCAGGTGTGGTGGCGCACGCCTTTAATCCCAGCATTTAGGAGGCAGAGGCAGGTGAATCTCTGTGAGTTTGAGGCCAGCCTGGTCTACAAAGCAAGTTTCAGGACAGCCAAGGCTGTTATATAGAGAAACACCTAAGAACCAACTCTTCATTTCAGTGATTCTTTGAATTGTTTTTGTTTCTATTTCATTGATCTTAGCCCTGAGTCTAATTAATTTTTGCCATCTTCTCTTTTTGGGTCTGAAATCTTTTTTTGTTATCGATCTTTCAGGTGGGTCATTAAGTTGCTAATAGGAGATACCTCTCCAATTATCTGATGTATTTGGTTCTTAGAACTGCCTTGTGTTCCACGGGTTTGGGTATGTCGTGTTTTTATTTTCATTCAATTCTAAAAGTGTTTTATTTCCTTCTTGACTTCTGTATTGACCTATTTTCCATTCAGTGGTGAGCTCTTCAGTTTCCATGGTCTGTATACGTTCTGTTGTTGATATCCAGCTCTAATCCTTAGTGCTCAGACAGGATGCACTACACTGTCTTGACTGTCTGTGTTTTGCACTGGGATCTAAGCATTTGGAGCTAACGATTGTTGAGGTGTTTCTAGGTGTCGATAATCTGGTCTTGTCTTTTCTGGGCAGTTAGTTGTTCCATTCTTTGGTTGCTGTTGCCCTCTCTGGACAAAGTGTGGTGGCCGTGGGGTCCCTGGTAAAGAGTGCTTTCATAGTCTGGTGGGTAGCAGGAAGGAATGGAAATAGGGTAGGAGGGAAGGCTGAGAAGCACTGAGGGAAAGAGCTAGGTGGATCTGGTCTGCAGGAAGAGGTGGAGTCTCCAGGGAATAGAGGTAGGGTGGGAGGAGAGGGCTCCTGCAAGCAGCCTGCTAGAGGGCTGAGTGAGACTGGAGAGATCACTATGGGGGACCAGCTCTGCTGGATTTAAGCATCAGGGTGGAGCCCACAGAAGGTCTGTTTGTTAGATTTCCGAGCACAGAGCAAAGAGACAAAAGACAGAAAAAAGACCAGAATCTGACCTCCACAAACGAGACTGTTTATTAGCACACACCGGCAGCCACTCTCCTACAAGAATGGAGGGGTCTATGAAGGGAGTGAGTTTGTCAGGCTCTTAGAGCCAGGTGGGTCAGGGGCTTAGGTACTAGGAAGATGATACATTGGTGGAGGGTACTTGCAGATTGCAATGACCTCCTCCTGGGCTTGTTTTTCCCAACACTACCCAACTCTTTGCCCCTGCCAGGGTTGTTAGGTTGTGGTTGACTGACAGCGGTTGGGCAATGACAGCAGACACCTCAGTGGGATTTCTGTTTTTCCGTGGCTGGGGACATTCTAGCATTTCAGATCCTGGAAACAAGAAAGGAGTAGGGTGTTGTCTTTTTCTTCGCTGTTCTGAGCTGAGGTCGCCAGTTGTTTGGAGAGGGTAGTCCGGGTTGAAGAGGTTTGTCCTTGGGTCCACTTAGCAGGAACTAAGTTTGAATTTGATTGCTCTGCTGGATTGTTCCATTGCTGTCACGTGTTCCTGGAGAAATAACTGGTAGAGGGTCAAAAGTAGATGATTTGGTCACAGAGTAATGTAGCAGATCGTTCTTTGGTCTGCCAGCTCCCGAATAAAGATACGGAGATTATTTTATTAATTATAAAAGCGTTGCCTTAGCTTATGCTTATTCCCAGCTAGCTCTTCAAACTTAAATTAACTTAACATGATAATTAATTATCAGTGGTCAGAATGGAGAGGATTCCCGAAGAGTTGCTAAGTTCGAGGAGTACTAGATCTGTGGTCAAGGTTGTGGAAGAATGGGGGGAGGGAGGAAGTTTCCCTTCCAAGTCTAGTTGTTCAGGGTGATAACGACCAGTTCCACCACCAGCAAGAGCTGCACCAAAAGCAAGCTAGCCAGAGTGGCAGAACTAGGGCACATTGAAGGGAGGGGAACAGGAAAAAAGAGAGGATTGGTGGGAAGAATTGTGTCTGGCCTGAGGTGAAGGGAATGAAGTTCACTTATAGCCAGAGTTTCTCCACAGTGTCCAGGTCTTTTGGTGGATGTATCAGTGACAAAAAATAGTTGTTGGAGGGTGAAAGCCTTTGTTTGGGTGTGGGGGAATACTGGGCATTTTAGGGGAGGTGTTTTATAAGTTAAACATTTAAAAGGCAGGGTAAAATTGTGAGTAGTAAGAAGTGACAAGGCTCTGCGGAGGAGCCAGGGGGGTTAAGAAATGAAAACCCACACCGAGGAGGAGCTCTCTCAGATCACGTAGGATCTGTCAGTGTGACGCAGCGTGGTTCCGGCAGGAGCCTGCAAATCCATCCTCTGCAGGAGTCAGAACCACTCCTTCATTTTGGAGTTCTGCGGCCGCCAAAGAGTGGAGCTGGTCCTGAAGGATGGTAAGCTCATGTGGAAGTCCCTTAAGGCTGTTTGAGAGTAGCTGAGAAAGGGAAACGGATGCAAAGCAGGCTTCGTGCCAGCTGCTTTAGCACCCAGTCCTGAAAAGAATGGGTAGAGGGGCACGAAGAAGGATGAGTCAGAGGGCACGTGAGTCCCCTTTCATAGGTCACCCTAACTGCTTGTACGGGTTTGGCGCACACATCTCTCTAAACTACCTCAAGCTGACAAAAGTGCCAATGTAGAAAGGGCGGTAGTTAGAGGACCTCGGGGGGGACCATTCTGGGGGACACATGAAACTTAACGGAAGACAAAGAGATCTAGAACGCGAGTCAGCGATTAGGGGGTTATGACTGTACGCCCTTGTGGGGAACGTTAGGGGACAAAGTGAAAGACCGAAAATGTTACATCAGGATCAACATCATTTTTGTGAGGTTAAATGCAGTTGTATAACTGGCTTGACCAGAGTTCTCTAGAACAAGGCAACTGTGATCAGCTGTTTGTTACATCAGACTCCTGCTTAAGGAACAAGCACCTGGAAACTTTGTCAGTTAGAGTCAGCATCTAAGTGACAATTTAAAAGAGAAATAGAATCCTATTGTCATTTTTTATAGGAGTATTTAGCAACATTCCACAGACATCACTTGGATGTCCTGAATAATTTTCCGAAGCTGTGAGTCTGATGACAGTGTCTGCCAGCCTGCTTCCATCAGGGAACATGGGTGGTTTGGGTGTGGACACTGGAATTAGCTTTTGCTAAGAAAGATTTTTTTTCTTTTCTTTCTTTTTTTATTTAGATAGGGTTTCTCTACATCACTCTGGCTGTTCTGGAATTCACTGTGTAGACCAGGTTTGGCCTCAAGTTCATGGAGACCTGCCTGTCTTGTTTAGAATGTTGGTTACAAGTTGTTATGGATAATGGTCAGGAGAAAAGCTAAACAATGGATATTAGATTCAGAGTTCTTGTTTTTTTTTTAAAGGGGGGGGAGTGCTGTGGGACAATGGTGTGTACCCTGTCAATTGTATTTTAACAAAAGGCTGATTGGCCAGTAGCTACAGGAAGTGTAGACAGGACAACCAGGCAGGAAGTATAGGCAGGACAACCAGGCAGGAAGTAGAGGCAGGGCACAAGAAGAAAGCTTGGTCTGCAGTCGTGACCCAGCCATGGAGCAAGCAAGATGTGACTGCCTTGCTAAAAAAGGTACTGAGCCATGTGGCTAACATAGACAAGAATAATGGGCTAATATAAGTTATAAGAGTTAATAAGAAGCCTGAGCTAATGGGCCAATCCAGTTTATAATTAATGTAGACCTCTGTGTGATTTCT